TTTTTTTTTTTTTGGCTAATGTCAGGGATTGAACCCAGGGCCTCGTCTGTGCTATGCAAACATTGTACCATTTACCTATACCCCAGCCCTCAAAATTATTTTGGAAAAGAATAAAGATGGAGACTCACACTTCCTGATTTCAAAGCTTAACACAAAGCTTTGATAATAAAAATAGATGTTGGCTGCATAAAGACAGACATATGGACTAATGAAATAGAATTGACAGTTCTGAAATACACCACTGTATAAATAGTTAAATGATTTTCAAGAATACCAAGACCATTAAATGGGAAAAGGACAGTCTTTTCAACAAATGATGCGGGGAAAACTGGATATTCAAATGAAGGGAATGAAGTTGAACGTTTACCTTGTAGCATATTAAAAAAATAACTCAAAATGGATCAAACAGCTATCCATAAAGAACTAGAACTATAAAACTTGTTGAAGAAAACACTGGGGAAAAGCTTCATGACACTGGATTTGGCAATGATTTCTTGGATATGAAATTGAAGGCACAAGCAATAAAAGAAAAAAAAAACAGACAAACTGGATTTCATCAAAATAAAAACCTTGCCAGGTACGGTTGCACCTGCATGTAATCCAATTATTTGAGAGGCTGAAGCAGGAGGATCACAAATTTGAGGCCAATCTCTGCAACTTCGAGAGACCCTGTCTCAAAATAAAAAATTTAAAAGGGTTGGGTATGTAGTTCAGTGGTAGATCTGGGTTCAATCCTCAATATTGCAAAATAAATAAATAGATAAATAAATGAAAGAACAGAATAAATAATAGAAAGATTTGTAATCCAAGGGGCATGACTGACAGGATTAAAAAACAACCCCAGAACAGGAAGCAATTCTGCAAATCATGTAACTGATGAGATGTTAATATCCAAATTGTATAGAGAACCCCTACAACTCAACAACACAATAGATAACCCAATTCAAAATGGGCCAAGGGTTTGGACAGATATTTCTCCAAAGAAGAAGAACAAATGGCCGATTAGCACAGGAAAAGATGCTCAACATCACTAATTATTAGGAAAATGCAAACCAAACCACAATGAGACCCCACTTCATACCCATCAGGATGGCTACTATCAAAAAAACCAAATGTGGGGAAGATGTGGAAAAATCCAAACTCTGCACTGCTGATGGGAATGTAAAATGGTGCATCTGCTATGGAAAACAGGATGGTGGTTCCTCAAAAGGGTAACCATAGAATTTTATGACCCAGCGTTTCCACTTCTGGATTTATACCTCAAAGAATTGAAAGCAAGAACTCAAACAGATATCTGTACACTAATGTTCATAGCAGCATTATTCACAAGACCCAAATGTGGAAGTAACATGAGTGTTCACTGGCAGGCAAATGAATAAACCAAATGTGATGTATACATACAATGAAACTTTTTGTTATTGTTGGTAGTGGTGGGTTTTTTTTTTGTTTGTTTTTTTTTGGTACTGGGGATTGAACCCAGGGGCACTTAACCACTGAGACACCTCCTCAGTCCTTTTTATTATTTTTAAAAATTGGAGGGAGAGTCTTGCTAAGTTGCTTAGGGCCTTGCTAAGTTGCTGAGGTTGGCTTTGAGCTTGCCATCCTCCTACCTCGGCCTCCTGAGTCACTGGGATTACAGGCATGCGCCACTGCACCCAGCATGCAATGGAATATTACTCAGCCTTAAAAATGAGGGGAATTCTAACACATGCTACAAGATGAATACATCTTAAAGGCATTTAAAGTGAAAGAAGCCAGCTGCAAAACAATATCCAATGATTCCACTCAGTGAAGTGTAACTCATATTGTCAAATTCATAGAGACAGGGAGTAGAATGGTGGCTACCAGGGGCTGGGGAGGGAGGAAGAGAGAGGTCTTGTTGAAGATGAAAAAAAGTTCTTTATGAATGGATGGTGACAGTCGCACAACCACGTAAATATACTGAGTGCGGCTGAACGCTATACTTAAAACTGATTAAATTGGCAAATCTTGTTATGTTTATTTGAAAAGGCAAAGGCTGAGCTGAGAGGACGGGGTGGGGGAAGTGTTAATAAACGTGAGTGAAAATGGACTTTTGTGAATAGGATTATATTTAAGCCACTTGGATGAGTTTATTATGAAGAATCATTTTATAACACCCTCGATTGATCTGTTTTTGTTCATCCGAGTTTTCATTGATCAACTTGGCTTGGGTACCTCTCCATTGTTATTCATGTCACTTTCTTCTTCTTCTTTTTTTTTTTTTTTTTTTTACTTTCTTCTTCCTTGACCTCTAAATGTTGATGGCTCCTGAAGAGCCTCTTTTTTGAGGCTTCCCTTGCGTGCAGGTACTCACGGGAGCAGCATCCGCCTTCTGTCTTCACGTCTCATTTTGGTGTGTAAGCATTCTGCAAATTACCCTCTGACCTCTCTGCCAAGCCGCATCATGAACTGCAGCTGTCTGGCTAGACATCCCTCCAGCATCTCAAACTCAGTTTGGACCAAACTGGACTCATCGATTTTCCTTGTTCTGCTATTGCTGGTTTCTCGGGAAGACACAGAGCACCTGGCTTCCAAGTGTAAAAACAACACTTAGGAATCCTCCTTCCCTGTCTCTGTCTCCCAGCTCAGCTCAACTGTGGCCGATTGCATTTCCCCTCGGCGACCCCTACATTTTGTTCCCTAGTGTAGTGCCTGCCCTGCCTCAGGCTTCCACCCCTCCTGAGTGGGCTTCTGTAGCCGCCCACTGCTCTCTGAGCCCCCTCTGCCCTTGTGGGCTTGCTGCTGTGAACTAGCCAGAGGGAAGCCAGGGAGAGGCTCATCCTTTTCCCTTGCTTGGGGACTCAGACTCTACACAGGTCTCAGCCTGGAGGGGAGAAGGGCAAAGCATAAATCAGAAGGTACTCAGTGGCTTCTGGTTGAGCAGTAGCCCAGGGAGGGGAGGGGGTTAAGCAGGAAGTGGCTTATTCTCAAGATGGGGCAAGTCTGGTGTTTCCAGGGGATGGGCCCTTTGGGGAGCAGGCACCAAGTCAGCAAAGGGAAGGGGGAAATGGGGCAAGTTCCCAGGAGAGGTGGTTAGGGTACTAGGCTGGGGCCAGGGCTAGAATGGTGGTGTGGAGCTCAGGACAGGGGACAGGAGAACCTCAGGTGCAAGTCCTGCTTTCTGCCTGGCTGGCCAGGGCAAGTAAGGTGTTACTTCAGCTGGAGAATGGGATTCACGGTCTCCCCTGGATCCAGGGTGCTTGGCAGCCCTAGGAACTCCTCTGTTCTGGGTCTTCACTTGTTTGGACCCCCAGCCTGGACTATGCCTCTCCCCTCCCCAAGTTCCATATCTCCAAATCCCACTCATTCTTTTCTTTCTCTCCTCCTCCTCCTCCTCCTCCTCCTCCTCCTCCTCCTCCTCCTCCTCTTCTTCTTCTTCTTCTTCTTTTTGGTACCCAGGGGCACTTAACCACTGAGCCACATCCCCAGCCCTTTTTATATTTTGTTTAGAGACAGGGTCTTGCTAAGTTGCTTAGGCCCTCGCTAAGTTGCTGATATTGGCTTTGAACCTCTGATCCTCCTGCCTTGGCCTCCCAAGCCACTGGTATTCCAGGTGTGCACCACCATGCCTGGCCCTACTCATTCTTAGAGACTTAGATCAGATGCCACTTCTTTCTGGAAGCCTTTGCTCATTCTGCAAGCTGTGATAGGCTTTCTTGGTATCTTTAACTTTCTTTTTCCCCCTCCCCTATTGTACTTCTACTTTCTACCTTGAACTATTGTCACTTATGGCGATTTTACTAGACTGAAAGCTTTTTGTAGGCAAGTTTCCTGCAACAATGAATAGAGTTTCCTTTTCTTGGTTTTATGGAATCAGCTGTTAGTAGCTGTCATCCTCCACAGGTCTGTTAAGTTCACTGTAGTCTTCCCGAGGGTTGCTCACTAAGTATTTCCAGTCTTCTTCCCCTGGGCACTCCAACCCCTTATGTTCTGGGAGGTCGGAGGTGAAGGGAGGTCAGTGGGTTGTGAAGAAAAGCAACACATGTTATTATTATTTTTTTTTAACCAGAGCACTTAGGCCATATGAGATCTTTACTGTTCTTTTCCCTCCAGCATGGCAACTGAAGCATGAATGAGACCATAGCAATGTTTGAGATGTTGGCTCCTTGGTCATCCTGAGTCCCCTGAATAAATACCACAAGCAGGGTTCCCCTTACTGACCTATGGTGGGCACATAGCAAGAGAAATAAGCCTTTTTCTGTTTTCTGTCACTGAGATCTGAAGGTTGTTATTGTAGCACAACCCAGCCCATACTGACAGACACTTTTACCCTGCTGGGTATTAGCTGTAGATATGAAGAGCTCATCACTGAATCCTGCTGGCTGACCTGATGGAAGGCACTAGCATGGAGGGAGTGGCCTCCTTAGGCAGCAGAGTGCTTCTCTCAGCAGTTCAGCTCCCTGTAGAGCACCAGTAATTTAGATGCAGATGTGCAGAAATGGATGTACCTTCCACTCTCCTCTCTACAGGCCGCCTTCTAAATTAATTAAAAGCTGGGGGGTGGGGGGAGCAGAGAGGCTATTCTATTAAGTTGGGATGTTCTTTTTAAATTTTCGAGTCTGGAATAGTATTTTCCCATGGCTTTGCCAAGTTGTGTTTTACAAGAGTTAGCAGGATTCTTCTCCTGGTGGGGGAAAGCATTGTACTTTCCAGATACCAATGTGACCCACTTCCCTGGAGAGGATTCGGCATCTGGAGGGGCTGCTTGTATTGCTGAACAGCTGAAGGAACAGCAGAGCCTGTGTCCCAAATGCTCTATGAGCCGCAAGCCTGACAAAGCACAGGTGGGTTCCAGTCTGGTGGGGTGCACAGCTACTCCTGGGGCAGAGTAAGAAACCAACAAGCCCTTCTGTGTCCCCCTAATTGAAGGGAAGTGGTTATCTATGTGAAATGAACATTAAAACTAAAAGCTTGTCAGTATCCTGTGCGTGGGCTGCCTGCCCAACCTCAGGAACACAAAATGACAAGAGAAATGGGCAAGAGACAGAGATTTAATTGAATAAAAACTCCAGGCTGTGACAGGGGTGGGAAGACACAAAGCAGTAATTAACAACATAATTTTTTAAATGATGATACAATTAATTAACATCTTGGGTAAGCGCAGAGGGGGAGGGGACAGCCCAGAAACACTGCTAAATAAAGGAGAAGGGAACTTTGTGTTTTTTAAATCAACATCTGTGTGCAAATGGCCCTGGTTATCACAACTTCAGCAAAGCCCACAACTACCACCCAGGAGGATTCTCATGCCAGAGGAAGCAGAGGACAAATGAATCACTTTGAATTTCAGCGTATTCTGAAACTTGTATTTCAATTTACTCTCATCTGCAAGGGAGAGATACTGGGCTAGATGATGAAGCTGGCAGCTCTTTAGGTCTCATTCATGCATCAGGTCGAGGACTGGCCTCTCCTGATGGCGCTGGGGTGTGTGTGTGTGTGTGTGTGTGTGTGTGTGTATGTGTGTGTGGTGGGGGGGTCCAGGAGCCTTCCTGGGTGGGTTCCCATGCCTGTAGGAATTTACCTAGCCTGCTGGAGCCATAGTAGTAGTTGTTGGTTGGGGAGCTGTGGGATTGGCCATAATCTTTTCAGGAAATGATCTGAAACTGTTGGAATGTTTCCTTGCGGGAGAAAGCTACTTGGATATAAATCTCTCAGATGAAAAATGCAATCCCACAATTCACACTGATCACACTCCCTCCTCCAGAAGGTTAGAATGGGCCATCCTCTCCTGCTTAAGGGTTTATAGATGGCAGCTGGACATGCATTTTGAGCTCAATTCTGGGAGGAGCCTCTCACACTATTTCTGGGCTCCTTGTTAACCCAGGGAACTCAACTGTCCCCTTCATAGTTGCAAGACCTGCTGCATCTGCTCAATGATTAAGGTGGCCATCTTGATGGGGTCAGTCTAGAGTCAAGAAACACAATGAAGTTTGTCACCTGCTAGGAGTCTGGTCATGATTTTTTTTTTCTCACTTCAAATGCAGGACTACCTGACTAGGAAGACCTTGCACATTAGTCCTTGGCCTAAAGCTCGACACAGAGTAGAGTTTAGATTCATCTGCATTTACTTTTCTAGGTTGGAAATTTCTTTTGCCATGATATCCTGTTAGCCCATCTGGTCACTTTTAGGGCTAGCAGACATTAGCTAAAGTTATATTGGCAGAGAAACCTGGTAACTTGGCTTAAAATGAGGGTTACTTTCTTAAGTTGCTCCTCTTGTGGCATGTGACATATATAAGAATAAGACACAAAGTGTGTGAATAGTTTTGACGTTCTTAACCTTCCATGGTTGGAAGATGGGGGTTGTTTCCTGACTTGCTTCTTGAATGTGTGGGACATTCTCGCAGCTCTGGAAGTTGGAACTGTGTAGTCACAACGTGAAGTGGAAACCCTCCTCTGTGTGCTTCCCAGGATCATACAGACAGAGATTGAGCAAATCAGCCTAGTTATAGGGGTTGGTGTAAAGGCCACTACTAACATAACAGGAATGTGTCGTTACAATACAGATTAGTTCAAACATTTTTTTTTTCTTTAAACTGAATTTGGCCTAAGGTAGAGATCTAAAGGAAAAAACAAAAACAGACCCCTCACTATCACAAAAACAAACACCGAATTCTTAGTGATTTATAGAACTAAATTTAAGATGAGTACTGTCCCAGAGTCCATGGGGGTTGAAATAGGCTCAGGCTGACTGGATTTCAATCAAGAAGCTCCTCTTCCCAGAAAGAGGGACTCGAGCTGTGACTTGGACTTTGAAACTTCCCATCCAGAAAAGAATATTCTATCTAGGTTTTCTTTTGATCTCTTGAGGCATTGAAAAACAGCTGCTTGACACTTCATAAAACTACAAAGCTATGTATAATGCAGAAATCATTCTGGAACATATGCGCCTGTCTTTCTTTACAACCAAGGTTATTTTCGAGAACAAAGATCCTGTTTTCAAACAAATGTGATCATTAACTGTGATGCATCAGAAGACATATGGCATGGTTAGTTTTTAGCAGAATCATTCCTAAAGAAAGTGAGGAATCAAGATGGTTTCAGTTCAGGAGGAAAGCCAATAAGAAAGGCAAGCGAGAAGCCCCTGCACATCAGCAGAAGTTCACAAACACCGCAGAGGTCCTGTAATTTCAACATGGGATCAGGAGTCCGCAACTTGGTTTAAGTCACACCAGCGAAGAACTTCAAAGAGTAACACTTACTCTTGAATTGATTGGCACCGTCCCTGCAGGGCACTGAAAAGGTAGCCATAGCTCCACACCACTGCCTCCTTCTCCAAGGTGGCAGAGGTTGGGGGAGACACAAAAATCTTAAAAAACTCAATCTACCTCTCCTGCAAAGACCACTACTATTTTACATTTCATTTTACAGAACTAACTTCTGGGCTCTCCAACCTTTTTTTTCCCTCCCCTTATTGATTTTTGTTTTGTTTTGTTTTTTGTTTTCTTCTTTTCTTGACAGCAGACCCATACAAAGTGAAAACCACAAAAACATCACCTGGGAGACAGAAAAGACTAAGACAGATCTGACCACACGACAAGTGTCTCGGCCTTGACCTACACAGGAGCAGTTAAGACTCTGGAGCGGCAGACGGCCACTGCGCACCGCGGTTGCACAACACTGCATTTAGACGGCTGAACAAGTGTGAAAAGAACGTTGCTGAGTCCCATTGGTGTGGCTCGGCCTCGTGGCTCATGGCGTCGGAGGTGGTTTTGGAGACGGGCATGAGCTCTCGCTGTCGAAGCTGGCAGCTCTGCCCTGCCACTGTGGGGAGGAGAAAAAGCGCCAGTTACTGATCGCCAAGGGAATTAACGTTGTAACTTCCAAAACTTAACTGGCCCATGCACTGAATTCACCTTCCCCAGCTTTTCAGTAAGCTTTCTTGAATTTTGCTGTCAGCCATGCAAAAACATAAGGAAAACAGCTTATAGCTTCTAGTTTGGAATACTTGATTTAAAAAAAAAGAAAAGAAAAGAAAAGAAAAAGAAAAAAGACTACTGCATAAGTAACTTCGGCTCTCTTCACAATGTAGAGTGTGTGTGTGTGTGTGTGTGTGTGTGTGTGTTAATAAGGTGCTACCACTGGACCATTTCTGAGTGCTTCAGCCATTTTTCACACTGAAAATCAGATTATGTTAGCAGCGAAAGAGGCAGTCTGCAGAGTGTGGCATTACTGCCAAGAACCCACGATCATGAATTATTAGCAATTTGTCTGGGAGCTGTTAGTACAGCAAAAGGAAAAAAGAAAAAAAGCCTGATATTGCTTTGGTCTTGGGCTCTCTTCTTTGGCCTTCATGTATCCTACAAGCATTCATACCGGGCTTGTGAAGCAGTAGGAGGTATGAGGACAGGGGACCCTTTCCCCTTTGGGCCCCTCCAAACCCTTTCTCCTCCCCAGCTCCCTGACTCCCAGATGGCCTCCTCTCAGCCTGGCTCTACCCCTCTGTGGAAGTGGGTGATGCAATGAGGTGTAATGGAGTGAAGGAGGGCTGAGGGCTTCAGATGGAAAAGCCAGTCATAGCCGTAGCAGTGTTTCCCAGGCAAGGACCGGACCCCATGAATATTCTTGACCTGTCTGGGGGTGGCGGAACTTCAGAGTGAGTCAGTGTCCCCTGCTCACTCGCCCTTTCGTGGGCTTAGGAGACGGAATACTCTCTTAATGCCTATGAGACCCGGCTCGAGTGAGGGATTTTAGTAAGGGGTCAAGATGGTCTTCTGAACCCCAAGGGCAGCCTTGAACCTCCTTCTTCTCATGAGCTTAGGGGGTCTCCAAGGTGGAGTGACAGGGCTGAGTAGAGGTTATAACCGTGCATTTGGGGACCTCTGGAGGTGACTGGAGGAGGATATAGTTCCCTACTCAACATGGCTGTTTCTAGGCAGAGCTGAGCCACACCAGGAAGACTAAGTGGGAAAGTCACAAAGCTGAGGGGAGACCAGACCTAAGGCACTACCTCCACGACCCCAGACCTAGGGACAGTCTGCATTGTTCTTCTCTGGGCCCAATTCTGCATGGGTTCCTTAGTGCTCCCTTTATAGGCCAACCTGAAGGTCTTTACAACTAACCAAGCACTGGGCAATCAGGTATCGACGGCCACCATTATATGACCTAGACCTGAGCAATCTCAGCACGTCAGAATGGACACAGGCTTAGGATCTTCCAGTCTAACCCTTTTGTTCTTGCAAATAAGAGAACAAAGGCACAGGTGGTGTCAAGAGGTAGTCAGTTAGGGCAGATCGAGGACCTGAAACCAGGTCTCCTCACTCCCAACTGGGTGCTCTTTCCCCTTCATCCTGCCTCTGTCTTAGCACGTGGCCATACTAGGGGAAGGAGACACAAAATGTAATAAGAAACCTAACCTCCTTGGGTCCACACCAGGTACTTACTCCTAACTCCAGGTGGTAGTCTCTCTGCTTTGCAGCATCCACGTGAATGAAATCACAACCGAGGGTTTCCCTGGTGAAATATTTTAAATAAATAAATGCCTGGTTGTTGAGCCCACTGTGACTTCTGACTCAAGTGTTTCTTAACCAGAAAGTGACAGAAGACGATCACTAATGCTTTCATTTAGCAGACCTTCATTTTAGGAGCTGGATTTTTTTTTTCTTTTTTCCTGTTCCAACCTTTAATGTCAGTGAAAGGTACATTGTAATTACTGGCTTCTCCCCTGGGTGAGCCTGCTACTTAAACAATCTGATTGATAGGCCAGGTCAGAGGAGAAAACACGAAATGGCTCCACAGAATACCTTTTTACCCTTATATAACAGCCCAAAGAATAGTCACACAGAGCATAATTGTTTATCCAGAACAAATGAAGAAGGAACACTGGCTCTCCTGCTAGTCCCTGATTTTGCCCATGAAGATCAACAAAGGGAGGAGATGAGGTTCATGGACAATGGAAAGGTGAATGATTCCCAGGCTTATGGAGATGGCTCTGAAATAGCACAGAACCTGTCCCCTCCAGGCGGGAACTTATTGTTCCAGGGGGAGGGTCTTTTGTTCTGAAAAGGATCACATTCCAGCAGAGATCTAAAATCTCTGGCAGATGATCTGAAGTTGGCCTTCCTGATAAAGCACCTTGGAGAAAGTCACTGGTCAACCAGGCCCTGTGTGTGGTGGGAGGGAAGGGGCTGGCGCTGCAGCTGGGGAAGGGCGCTCATTGTAGCTTAATGAATTTTTATTCATGAGAGATCCCAGCAGGGAAAAATACCTTTTCAGTTAATTTGTTTCCCCTCAACATTATTTTAAGCACCAAACCAGCACGTAAGTATGGTGTCCTCTGTTCTCATTAATAAAAAAAAGAAATGATCACAACACTTGAGGCTCTGCTGAGAAAGGTGCAAGATAAATATGGAGTGCTTACCGATACGATGCCATTTATCTTCCCGGGAGCTGGAGAAGATTTCTTTATGGATTATACAAATAGGAGATCTAAGTTTCAGGAACAAGGCTCTTGCTCAATGGCCAGAACAGAACCAAAATGAAGGCAGAGTGGGAGCTCTCAAGGTGACTGAGAAGATGGGTGTTCAAGCTCAAAGCTTCACGTGAACCCCAGAGGTTCACTTAATACCAGCCTGGTGGGGTTTAGATGCATTTTTACAAAGATACTTAAAACCGTGGGTGCTAGAAGTGTCAGTGAAAATTCTATACAAATACATACTATTGCTATCCTAAGTTGCCGAGATGAATGTCATTTTTTGCTTCTTTATACAGAGAAATGATCAGCTGAGCAGAAAATGGTAGGATAGCAGGGGTGGGAGGGGCAGTCTCGGGCACACAGTGTGTGAGGTCAAGAAAAAAAAGTAAACCCAAAGGATCTGAATCAATTTATTCTCTTTTCGTTTTCCATATACTGTTACTTGCCTCTTACTGTCTCATCAAATATTCACTTTCAGGGGCTTGATTCTACATTATCTTTCTTTCTTTTGTAGTCTGGACTAGTGAGTCAGAGTTCTCAAAGAAACAGAATTTGGATTCAATTATTTGACTTAATTAGGTTGTACTCATTGTCATTCGGGGGCCCAGTTCTGGCACCTTGGTGGTACCCTACACCCCTGCTCCGGCTGCTGCTCTGACCAGTTATTTCCTTTGCCAAGGGTAGACCCAGCCTGGTAAGCCTGATGGATTATGGTAAACACAGAGTGGAGGTGAGAAAGGCAGTCAAGTGCAACACGTGGGCTCCTGGGCCCAGTGGTCGCTTAGGGTCAACGTTTCCCTAAAAAGCAAAGATGGGGAAGGGGGTTAGCTGCAAGGGGTCTGCTCCAGAGGTATCTTGGCTGCATTCCATGCCCTGCCCCTAAGCCACTCTAAACAGTTTAGTACGCTTATTCTATTCCTAAATATTTCCACAAGATGTGGGGGCAGGTTATCATGGCCACTTCCTGGGTTGAATCCACACTGCCTTTAGTGAGGGCCTAGATTGTCATCAGGTTGCCTAGGGTTCTGCCCAATAGCGCCCCCTGTGGCTGGTGGTGGGTACCTTGCCCCCACTGCAGGGAGGCCCTCCTGGAAGAGAGGGGAGGGCTACCTTAGGGTAGCTGCAGACAGAGGGTCTGGCCGCATTAATGCTCCACAGCTGTGGGAAAATCAAGACAACCCTGAGACAGAAACCCAAGGCCTCAACTGACAGGAACTTGGATCTATGCCTGAGTCCTTGATGCTGCCTTACAGGCCATAGGTCAGGAGCTTCACAAAGCACAGGCTCCCTGGAGAGGTAAGTCAATGGGCCTGGCTCCTGGGAAGCCACCATCTCCCACGAGTTTCCTTGTGCCCAGTTCCCTCAGCTCCCAGTCTCTCCTGGCATACTTCCTACTGCTGTAAAGCAGGTGGAAATGATTTGCCCACCCTGAGAAGGAAAGGAAGCCGGCAGGTCCCCCCCGGGTTTTTCCACACCTACCTTTTCTATATCAGAGTAGTGGGAGGGGGGTAACTGTTTTTCAGGTGAGTTTGCTTTTAAATTGAGGGATCATAGGATGGAAGGGATAAAGCTTTAAAGTTTTCCAATTTTATCCAGCTCTCTGGACTTAGTAGGGTTGAAGCCTGTTAAGATGAGAGAATAAACGCCCAGCTTTCTTGGATATACTGGAGTATACGATATTAAAAAATGAGCTTCCAGATTTGCCTGGTCACCCCCATATCCCAAGCCAATTGGGAAAAAAGCAGGTCATCAGAGTGATAGATCAAAGGATCTTAAGTTGGTGGGGTCTGGTGGATAGAGATGGGGCATTACTCAAAGGGACATTTTCTTGGTAGCTGAGACAGAGTGGCAGGCTACAGATTGTACAGCAAGTCAGGAGGGGCCAAGATGGAAGCCCAAGTCTCAGGACGCCCAGTCCACGGCTTTGATGGAACCCAGCTTCAGCCAGAAAGTGTGACACCTTGAGGCCACACTCCTGCCCCCCACAATGGTGAGAACCAACCTTCTCGAGAGGAGGAATCTGCTCTATGGCCACACCTCCAGCCAGTCTGTGAAAACTGCCAAGTGACTGCTGGGCTTGAGCCCCAGGGAACTCACTGTTCCCACAGAGGTAGAACTTCTTGCCAAGTTCTGATCTCACCCCCTCGGGGCTCTCTCCTAAAGGACTCACTTGGCCCACCAGCTTGGTGAAGGCTTTTTAGGCCTGGCACAGTGGCCTGCTGGGAAGTCTTCTTCAAAGTTTTTATTTTCCATTAAGAACTCACTGTTGCTTTCAAACGGCTGACATCAGGGCTGTTTGCCAGGCAGCCTCCGCATTCTTTCCCCATCTATGTGTTATACACTGGGTGAGAAGCATGTGGCCCCCATGCCCCCTTCCCACCAAAGGCTGAGGGAGGCGCAGCAGCCAACTGCCATTCTCCAGCCCACACTGCCATGCAACAAACATGCCAGGGACCAGGTGACCTCACCCACCTCTTTGAAGGATTTCTTTACTTCCACCAAGGAGTGCCAGTGTGCGATGGGCTTCCGTGGGTATGCCAGCATCTCGTTCCAGTGGTCCCTGCCCAGACCTTCAGCATTGATCCCCACACGACAGACTCCTATGATCTCATTGTGACCCACTCTGAGGGAGAAGCATAGGTCCCAACATTGGGTATAAGACATGCTGTCAGAAAGGAAAGTCCCTCCAGGTGCGACTCTGCCCAGTGCATCAAATTCTGAAACGGATGCCTGGGGGGGCCTCGGGATGTCAGCGTCTGGGAGACTTTGCCTGGCCTCCTCAGGTGAGGGTTGGACATGGAGAGATGAACAAAAGGTTATAAACTCGTTTGGAATCTCAGGACACAGTTGCAGGTGGCCAGACTCTGGAAACTGGGAGAGTTTGTCTCTTCCTTTATTTGACTTAACCAGCATACTACAGCCTCTCTGGAGACATCTTGGAAATAAATCAACCTGCTCTGAGCATCGTTTCTCCATGTCCCCAGGGGTGGGGTGTGATTTATTCACTCAGGAAGAACGTGAATCATCACTCAAGTCTATTCATGAAGCACCTAGTATGCCTGAGAACTTGAGCTAAAAACCCAGGATAGAGGGTTTATTGTATGGTTTCTGCCTCCAGCTAAAGTAACATTTGGACAGAAGGGGTCATGGGGGCTGGAGTAGTTGGAAAGTGCTTTTGAGCCAGTCTTGATGGGAAAGCAGGAGAAACAGTAGAGAAGAAATAAATTCAAGGAAGGGGAGGTCAGGTGGGATGGATCTGCTGGGTCAAGATTATGGACAACAGGAGCCATTGATGGATCTTGAAAAGGGCAGGACCAGGAAGAAAGTGTCCAGGAAGGTGTGTCCTTGGTCTGTTTGCTGGATCAGGGAAGCGAGGAATGGAGGTTCAATAGCTATCCTAGAGTGAGAGTGGTAGCAGTCACAGATGTGGAGAGGACAGAAAGGTATTCTAAAGGACACATGGTAGGTAGGACTTGGTGCCAGGTGGACCAGTAAGAATGGTGAATTCAGGGGACGCTGACTGGTAAAGTTGCCTCATCAATGGAAACAGAGCAGCTGGGAGAGGAGGCTGGAGACTTTTGCTAAGGGGGAGTCTGCACTCTTTCTCAAACTCCTATGCCCTTCTTAGGTGGAGCCAGAGTTGAAGCCAATGCCAATGGGCGTCTGAGATCTGAACCACAGGTCAAGGTCAAGGAGCCCTATGCTGCATTGGAGTTGGGGGGCGGGAAGAGGGGCAGGGGATCGTGTCCCTCTGGGACTGGAACCTACCGATCGTAATCCATCACTGAGATGAGCAGGCTGACTTGATCCATGTTTTCTGGGGGAATGTCAAAGATGATGGCCTCATTGTAGACAGGATTGAGAGTGTTCTTCTTTATGGTTGTTTTCTTCTTCTTCAGCCTCCGCCCATCACAAAGCAGGGACACTTTGACGTAGGGATCTGTGCCAATGGGGGCAGTGCAAAGGGAAGGGAATGTGTTCAACAGATGTCCTCAAACATCATTTGCAGCAGAGGCACTGAAGCCCTAGACCTGCTGCTGCTTCTCAGATGGTATCGGTAGGTTGTTGAAATAATTAAACCACCTTGTATTTATGTAGCACACCTGTCTCCGAGGAGGCTCTGTGCTTAATAAACAGAATCTTTAGCTACCTCGGTATTCGTGGGAGACTGCCTAATGGGCTTTCACTAATAGGGAAGCCAGCCCCAATTCAGACAGGACACTTGCCCAGGGGTGTGCAGTTCCTAGCCCTGAATCTCAGTCCCACAATGGCTGGCTGGCTCAAAAGGCTGTTGAAGCTGACAAAAGCACTGTTTCTTTCACCTATATGGAGTCTATGGAGTGGTGTGTGTGTGTGTGTGTCTCTCTCTCTCTTCTCTTTGCCAACATCATTAACCAAAGGATAAAGAGGGTAAAAATAGAACTCAAAGATGGCCAAGAAAGAGCCACATGTCAGAGTGCAATGAACAGCGACAATCGCAATGCCGTTCACGTCCTCCCCACCTGACAACTTGATTTTGGGTCCCAGTGTCCCAATAATCTCATTGCCATTTGGCATCAAGAAGGAGGAAGTGGCCCTGCTTTCTGCTTCCCTAGAAGCCATTTCCTGCCAACTTCTGAACAGTGGAGGAGGAGGGAGCTTTGGCCAGGGGAGGGAGTGAGGTGGTCTCCTGAGACTCAGGGCAGCTGGTTGACATTTCATTTCTCAGTGGGATCTTGGATGCTCTCCATCCTGCAAAGAGATGTCTTTTTTATTAAACTCCATGTGCCTCCTGATCCTGTCTCTTTGTTAGTTTTCTGAATAGGTATTTCATGGTCATCACTCTACCCTGAAATTTTCTTCTCATCCAAATGAAGTGACACCTATTGTATCTCATAGCACAGGTGTCTTGGTCACCGTCATAATTAGTATTTATGTTGGACGGCTCAAGAAACAAGAGGGTGACTCACAGGTAATAATAGCTGTTGAGATGCTGATGTGCCAAGACACCTTTATGCCCAGAAGCCAGGGCTCATGTGAATCTGTCAGGAGGTGCTAGTCAAGGCAGCCGCTCCCTGGTTCTGCGATTCAGAGATGCACGGTTCCATCTCCTGGGCAGCCAAGACCCACTTGGCCCTCAGGCTCCCTGGCTTCATTCAGGAGAAGATGAGGTGCATACCCATGGTGGAAACTAGAGAAACTGCAGCACCCGACCAGAAACTCTAAGCCTTAATGTTATTCTGTAGACATGTAAATAAGCTGCTGACTAACCAATGTGACAGTGGCAGCTGTGCCTTAACCACAGGGACACTTAAGTTTATGGAGGAACTCGGGAGACCATGAGGAATTCAATCAACCTGCTGTCTCTGATACACATTTGCAAGGGCCCCCTCTCAGAGGGATTTTCAGTAAACAGGGAGGAGAGGAATGAACCCACAGGAGACAGCATGCTGGCTCACGGGCTTCATTCTCCATGGACATGCCCCAGGACACTGCTCAGGTCCTAGCAGACAGGTGAGAAGAGCAGGCCCCAAGACCTGTCTTTGACACTCAATGTCTTAAGGAAGCCCATAGCTTTAGAAAGTGTCTTCAGGCATGAGTTTGCCCAAGTGTTTCCCCTTTCTCTGTTGTACCTGATTTCATATACTCCCACTCAAGAGCAAATGTTCATGTCACGAGGCTTGGAAAAATATAGGCAGAGCCACTTGTCCCATAGGCTGCTGGGCCAATGCCTCAGCACCCCTCCCCAACTCTGCTCATCCCTACAAGGCATATCCAATTTATAATTCAGTGAACATATTTCCTCGCAGGAACCAACACTCTCACAAGGCTAAGCAGAGATGACTGTTCCCTAGGATTCTCCCAGACAAAAGTTTATGGTGTCTAGTGGAATGCTGGCCTCTGGTGATATGTGAGGCCTGTTCCTCTCTGCAGCGGATTGAGGGGGCTCAAAGATCAGCAGTGCATTTCAACCTCATTGTCACAGAAGCCACCAGAATCCAGCATTTGGAATGTGCTGGGCACTCTGCTAAGAGTTGTATACATATCAGGTTCCTTTAAACTTCATATCAACCCTATGAAATATTTATCATCAAATCTCCACTTCATCAATAGGAAAAGTGAGGCTTAGGGGGAGGAAGGAAATTGCTTCAGAATTGAAGCCAGGTCTGATTTCAAAGCTCTCACATTTTTGACCCCTAGATTCTAAGCAGCGCAGACCAGATGTGGCACAGATGAGAGGGTTGACTCTTTTCCCCATCCGTTTTCAGCATGCTGGTCCTTATCATTATTTTGTACAATTTTAATTGCTATGGTTCTAACAGAAGGGTTTAGAGAATTGATTCAGGGCTTTTAGATCAAGAAAAACAGATCCTTGGTTTTAGAGGTCAATGCCATGTATGTCTGGAACAGGCAATTAATAAACTCCATTCACTCCCCAGATCAGTCCAACATCAAACCAGTCTCGGCTGAAGGCAACGTCAAACTCATCCTTGAAAACAGGAAATCTAGTCTGAGAGGCCCCTGGCACCCACACATGCCCTGTGCCACCCTTGGGGCCAAGGTCCTCATAATACACACAAATACGTTCGCTCGTTCATTCGCTAATCTGTATTTAATGAATGTTTCTTATGTTCCACAAACTTACTTACATTGGTGAACAAAATAGACATCTCTGATGCAAAGAGGACCCCTACCTTTTCAGAATCCATCTGAGATTTAATACCAGATTTCAAAACCCAGTAGAGAAGAGGGATAATTGTGAGAGGGATGTTAGAACTTGGCATAAAAATACCTCTCGCCCCAAACCCTCTGATCCGGAACAGTCTTTGTGATTACCTATGGCTTTACTATGAGCCCCCCCCCCCCCGCCTCTCACATGACTTTAATTATACCAGAGAAGATAGTGTGAGGACCAGGACAGCAAAATCCTATTTCCCTCAGGAGCCCCGAGAGTCCTTAGTGAATTTCTGCCCCCAGCACACACTTATTTTGGTATTAAAATAAAATCGACATTGGCTGTATTTTGAGGGAAGCTGACTTACTGCTGCCTGAGAATTTTCCGCATGTCAGCAAAGGTTCCCTAAGCTCTTCACTGTGTCCTGATGTGTGTCAGCAGCTTTGGTAGATAGAGGAGGTTGGGGAATGGGGTCTCCTTGGGGGGCTTTTGGCCTGGTGAAGGGTACCACAGAAATAATTGGAGGCTGAAGCAGAGGCTCCCAGAGGTTCAAAGGTGCAGTAAATAAACTGGGTGCCAGTGGCACATGCCCCTAATCCCAGGTACATGGGGAGGCTGAGGCAAGAAGATCATAAATCGGAGGCCAGTCTCAGCAACTTAGAGAGACCCTGTTTCAAAATAAAAAATAAAAAGGGCTGGGGATGCAGCTCAGTGGTAGAAAGCAACTGGGCTCAATTGCCAGTATGAGAGATGGAAGAGGAAGTGCAGTAAATAAATGCAGGTTATACTGAATTAATATTTCCTGACCACTCTTTCCTAAAACCACAGTTTCCTAGGCCTGATACCTCATCATCTTCCACCTTCACCAGGTTGCTCTTTGCCCCAGGTATTTTCAGCAGGACCTTCTCCCCTGTACGGCAAGTGTGGTTATACCTAGGAGTCTTCTAGAGAATAAGTAATTAACGAATACAAAGGAAAACTTTTCCATACATTCCCAGCCAAGTTCAGAGTTGTCTCCTGAGTGGTTTTACACTGGTAATTGGAATCATTACAAGGGCCTCTTGGTGAGGGTCTAGGGAAATAAATTGAGACGTTCCCCCCATTTGCTGTCCTAAATGTCCAGAACATTCTACAAGCCATTGAGCTTGAGCTGTTGTTTGGGAGGCTTTATCTCTCTTACTCCTGGGGGCAATTCGAGCTGATGGAGAAGGAGGTTCCCAGGCCTCAAGCTGCTTCTTCGTTATCTCCAAGTGCAAATACCTTCGAGGACCACTTGTAGAATTAATTCTACACTTGTGGAATCATGGAGGATCAAGCCATGTCCAGCCTGCAGGTCTCTGCAGTTGTTCCAAACAAGCCTCTCCTGCGTTGCTGGCATGGCACGGTATTTCTATTCTGCTGGAGCTCAGCTCCCTTGGTGTTGAGGCTCAGGCTGGGAGCCCTGCAGGAAAAGCTCAGATAAAAATGCGCTTTGCTTTTCAGTGGATTTGCTCCTTTGACTCAGTACACAGGGCTGCTGCCCTAGGCCTGTGTGGGCCTGCAAACATTTGCACAAACTTGACATAACCCTACTTGAAGTCCTGGGGCCTCATATAAACTGTGAAGATTGTCTTTATATATTGTCTCCTATATATTTCCTTTGGATTCTCTCTCCTTCCTCTAAGAGAAAGAATGGTGGTAATAGCTCGTCTCTACTGAGTGCTCATGATGTGTCAGGCACAAGGCTAAATGTTTACGTGGATTAACTCGCTTTTCACATTAGGAAACTGCAATAATTTGGATCTTGAATGGCCCCTAAAGGACAATTTGTTCTTGGCTTGGTCCTCAGCCTATAGCACTAATAGGAGGTAGAGGAGACCTTCAGGAGGTAAGGGCTGGTGGAGGGAAGTTGGGTCATTGGGGACATGCCCTTGAAGGGATATTAAGACCCTGGCCCTCTTCTTCCTCTCTCTTTGCTTCCATGAGGTGAACAGGCCTCTGCCATGTGCTCCCACCATGAGGTCCCATGCTGCCACAGACCAAAGCAACAGGGCCCAGAGGACATGGATTGAAACCTCTGGAACTGTGAGCCCAAATAAATCTTTTATTTATGTATTAATTTTTTCAATACTGAGGATTGAATCCAAGATCTTGCACATGTTAGGCAGACGCCCCACCATTTACCCCTAGCCCCATCTTCCCTCCTTTAAGTTGATTTTTCTCAGGTATTTTGTCACAGTGAAGGAAAACTAACACAGAAACCACAGTCTTTACACAGAAAAGAAGGGACAGAAGTGGACTTTGGATGCAGGTCTTTGCCTCCTGAGCTGGTGCTCCTAGTCTAAGAATAGCACAGGACTTGCCCTTTCTTCCTGAACACTCAACCAAATCTTAATGTCTGGATTTGGGGAGGTTGCATGGTAGGCCGCATGAGTAAGAGAGATACCTGAATAGCCTGTGATGTCCATCGCCTTGAGGTTGCGACATTTGATCACCGTGAGGGTTAGCCTGCCGGCTGTGGGCAGGTAGCAGAGGGAGAACATGATCTCTCCCAAGTCCACGCTTTCCTGCAAAGAAGCAGACAAGAAGGCAGGTGAGAGGCACACATGGGCTTTCTCCCTGTGCAGGGGCCATGGGGCACTCTGGGGCCCAGGAGAAAACTCTGGGACTCACAGGACCATGTGCTCAAGACCTAAGGGACTAGCCTCCATGCTAGGAGTAACTGGGTACAAAATAATAATATTGCTCTTTCAATAGAATTTGCCCCCTTCAATATTGTTTCTCACTTCTTTTTAAATTTTGAGGCAGGGTCTTCCTAATTTTCTGAGGCTGGCTTCAAACTTGCTAATCTTCTGTCTCAGTCTCCTGATTAGCTGGGATGAGAGGCAGGTGCCAACATGTGCCCAGCTTCTCTCTGGCTTTTGATCAGATTCTGGTCCCAGTCCTTCCCATTCTGCTTTGGTTTGACTTGCCTTGTGGGCACCCCTTGACTGCAGCCGCCCTGGATGGTCCATTCCAGTTCTCCAGCTCACCCTTCCCCATCTCTGATCCCCTTGACTTCATGCCCATCCAGGGTCCAGGTTAGTGGTTGTGGTAATGTCCTGGGTGGGATCAAGCTCTAGCCATCAGGTGGCCCCTCTCCTAGCAGATCTGCAATTCTTTTCTGCCTCTGCTCCTCAGCTCGGTCATTCTTTGCCAATCCCCAACTTTCCGGAAACACACCCAGCTCTCTAACTTCAAGTCTTGGTGTGGACTTAAAAGGAACTGACACCCTGGTTGGGACATGCTGCCACCCAAGGAGATGTACCCTTGCCATCCTGGGCTTGACCCCAGGCTTTAGATCTGCTCTGACCTTTTTCCTTAAATGTGATCATCCTTCAAAAATAAACCCAGCAAGGAACACACACTCCGCTGCTTCTCCTGTCCCAAGAATCATCATGGCTGGGGATCCCTGGAAGTTTTCTGAGAAAACAGAACTTTCCTCCCTAGAAGTTTTAATATCTTCCTAGAACGACGGCAAGCACGTCCATCTGTTGTATCAGTTAGCACTCTGACAGACTGCTTCCTTTTCCTGTTCCCCATTTACTGAAATGGAGTAAAGTTGACTTGGAACTGCAAGCTACAGAGATGTTTGCTCTCATAGGGCTCCCAGAGCTAGGTTTGAAGAAGTGGAGCTCAGGGTTTGGGAAGGCCCTGATGTCAGATGAGGCCCTCTGTGCTTATTCATGCATTCATTCAACAATATTTATTAAGCACCTGCTATGTCTTAGGTCTTGATCTGAGTGCTGGGAATACAGGAGAGAACAAAAGAGACAAGAAAATCCCTGCCTGTGTGGAGCTTGAATTTTATTAGGGTCAAGGACAATTTTAAAAAGTAAATAAATAAGTTAGATAATCAAAAGTATCAAGGAAAAAAATGTAAGGCAGAGAAGAGGATATGAAATGACCAGGATGGGGTTACAGTTGTAATTTTAGCCGGGGAAGGCCTTCCTGAGGAGGTGACTTCTGAGCAGGAGAGCAGTTGGGTGGTTTTGTCCATTCCCCTCTCAAAGGATCACCCTCTACTGGAGACTGTTGCAGTTCCCACCAGCCTGGAGAATTAGCCAAGACTCCCCCTACCCAACCCCTTCCAGGGCATGTGATCCCAAAGTTCCCCTCTAGGTGGCGCTGGCACCCACCCTTCCCTAACCCCACACTTGCCTTTTGTCCACCTATCCTCGCGCCCAGTCAAATTCCAGGCATAGTGACAGAAGGTGACTACCCCCAGTTCCCCAGGAGGCGGGTCAGACTGGAGCCAGAGTGGGGATACCCCGGCAGGGCCAGTCACCTGCTCCAGCACACATGCCCCTGGCCTCCACAGAGCCGGTGATCCAAGACCACCACCTATGCAGCTTGTCTATGATGCTTTTCCACCTTTGAGGTTCACAGCAGCTCTGGGAGGCAGGGATTGTTGCCATTACATCCTGTATTTACTCAGGTTGAAAAGTCTTGCCCAGCTAGCTGAGCCCCATCTCTTGGGAGAGCGCTCCTCACACTCCACCATGAGCAGAGCCCCTGACAGCTCACTAGGGTGCATCTCAAGGTAACCTTGAGATGTCCCTTTGACCACGCAGCCCTCTTTTTTGTTATTGTTGGATGATCCATTCATGTTTGCTGAATGCCAAAGGTACGGTGCTTCGTGGAGAGTATATATTCCTCCCCACTCCCCACCCCGCCCTTAACTCATGTAATTTAGGGGGGTGTAGCCAGTTCAAGGAAAGTGCTAGTACCCCCCTATTCCTCAGGTGCATCTCCTGTCTCCCTAGTCTCTTTGTTAATGGAGGGAAACACAGAAGAATTCCCCAATGTTGTGGGAACGTGGTCAGATCTCCTGTGGCAGGGATGGTACAGCTGACTGAATGGTCCATCTCTGACAGAGAAACAAGGTACAAAGAGAAGCCCAACTCCCTTTATTTCCCTTTTAAGTTCCCTGAGGTTTGAGCCTGACCAAAGTTACATAAGCCCTTTCAGACTCGCTAAGCCAGTAATGGACTGTCCATTGAACACATGCCAGGTACTCTACAAAGTTCTTTGCTAAATTCTTTCTGTGAGTCTTAGCATAGCCCTATGAGGCAGGTGTCTTTATTATTCCCATTGCATGAGGGAGAAAATGAATATTTGGTGAAGTTAAGGGACTCACCCAAGGTTGCGTGGCCAGTGAGTGCTCTGGTGCCAGACTTTTTTGTGTCAATGCCACTGTTCATATGCCCTCAGTGGCTCCCCTTATTTGGCTTCTGAATCAAGGCTCATCTTGGGGCTCTCAACAGTTGGGCTCTGTCTTACCTCCTCACCTGATTCTCTCTTCTCCCTCTCTGCCAGCTCTCTGCTCCACACGGTTGGTGTATCTTTGGTCACTTTTGCCAGAATGCCTCTCTCCTCTTCGCTTGGACAATCTATACCTGCTATGGGACCCAGGGTTGTTTACCCCCAGGGACCCTGCCTCAGGGTCCAGCTTGCATTGAGCATCTCCCCCACATCCTGCAGTCTTTTCTGCCCTAAAGAGCTCACAGGAACCACCAAGTCACCTTTGACCTGCATCTGTGCCCCCCACCCCCAGCATATAATGATGAGAGGCCCTTTTGGGACAAGATTCTTGCCTTACTCTTTTTTTTTTAAGTATTTTTTTTTTTTTTCAGTTGTAGATGGACACAATACCTTCATTTATTTATTTACTTGTATGTGGTGCTGAGGATCCAACCCAGTGCCTCACATGCGCTAGGCAAGCACTCCACCACTGAGCCACAGCCCCAGTCCCCTCACTCTAACTTTTGCTTCAGAGGTACCCAACGGCACACAAGAGTGGCTACATATTTGCCTGCAGGAAGGGAACGATTCCATTTTAGCTAAAAGAACCCTGGCAAGAATAGTTTTCTCTATCAGTGTTACGATCAAGTTAGGGCCCTGAGAAGAATTCTGGAAGCTGCTACAGCCCCTCTGAGAGGGAGTAAATACGCTACTGTCACCATGTCCCCACCACCACCATCCTACAGAAGCTAAGTTGTACTTTCACAGCCTGTCGCCACTGGGGAGTTTGAGTTAGTTTGTTTGTGGACCTTCAGGGTAAATGGAACCTTCTGGGGTTCTAGGAATTGCTCTCAAGGCTGGCTCCTTCCAGGAGCTCGGGCCTACAGACACTCTTTTTTGCAGGGCTTTCCTTCCTTATAGGACCATGGCACCTGAGGGACATGTGGGTACTGAGTCTGCAGTACACTGTGGAGTCCCCACTCCAGACCCTGCATCCAACAGTGACTTCCACCTTCCATTTGTGGGCCCATACAACCTAAGGGATAGATCCAGGATCCTACTGGGACATGGAGGCAGAGAGGAAATGGGACGAGGACCCTTGAAGCCCAGTCTTGGGGCTTCTGCTTTAGATGATCTGGCCTTATCAGGCCTGAGGGCAAGTTGGCTGTTCTTGATTCAGTAGATTGAAGAGGTACTGTTCCCCTGAACAAGCAGGCAGCAGAGGACTGGGTTATTTGATAAAGGAAAATAAATAGGTTAATTTTGAGTAAATAGAGAGACGGGAGCTAAAGCAAACAGAGATAGTCAGCATCTCCTGGTGGCCACCCTCCTTCTCTGGCAAGCTGAGCCCTGCTCAACCCAAATGGCCACCCTCACCTGACCCTCTCTCTGCCCCATTCTGTCTCAGGGGGTTTCAGCCCTAGATTCCACATACCTTACCAGACTTCTAATCCACATTAGAAATGTTTGAGACTTTGGACTTTAATAAAACCAGGGGTGACCAGGGACAGCAGAACAGCCAACACCTTATTGCTTTCATCTCTACCTGCTGTCGGAGAGGCCGCCTTAGGGCCCCTGACTGGTAATGAGCTCCCCGGTGCAGGAGAGGTCACTGTAGTCCAGAAAGCTGCAGAAACCAGCTTGGCCCTCCTAACTCCTCACCTAGGGGCTAATGAAGGGGATCTGAGCTCCATAGCCACTGGCCTCAAGTCTTGACTAGTGCTTGGAGGGGGTGGGTCTGCTGCCAGGGGAGGGAAAACCAGGAGACATCTGTCCTCAAGGGCAGCCTGTCTGCCTGACATCCTTGCCTATAATAGTGGCATGCTCCTGAGCAGTGCCCAGGGTGCCTGCGCAGAGAGATTCTGAAGGGTCCACTGACTGCAGCACTGTTCTTGATGGTACCAGAGCGGCCCACCTGCACAGCTGTTACAGATTTTTCTCCTTGATGCACTTACATAGACCTAGGCATGAGGGGCGGGGATGCTATCTGTGGGCTGGCTGCCCAAAAGCAGTGAGCCACAAGTCAAAGAGAGCCTGACTTTTAGTCTCTCTGCTGCTAACTAGCCATGAGACCTTGACCAAGTCATTTCACATCTTTGAGCTTTAATCTATGAAACGAAGGGGTTGTACTAGATGATGTTCTGGCAATCGTGAGGACTGAGGATGCAAACTGGAAAATCCATCATTAACCACCATCAACTGAGACAGCCCAATGGTGCTTGACTGGTGTCCGTGGCCCTCCTCAAGGCATCTAGAACTTTCATTTTGAAATCCAAATGCTCTC